TACAGTTTCAAAATTTCCCTCTCAGTTGCATACATCACATAAATAATGATAATGATATTATAATAATAATATAATAAAAGAAATTAAATAAAATTATATTTACAAATAAATACACTAAAAATAAAAGAATTAAGCAACTTATCTGAGATTAGTCGAATATCCACGAGGAAATAATCCACGAAACTTTGCTTTATAATCTTTATTGATATAGTAATAAAATTATAATACAAACAACTTAAATAGAATAATATTGACAAATAGATGCACTAGATAAAGTCGGATTAATCAACTTATCTGAATTTAGTCAAATATCCAAGAGAAATTAATCCGCGAAACTTTGTTATTTATTCTATAAAATGTGTCTCGTTTGTTTTGTTTGTTTTCTTAAAATGCATCCGATAATCGTTGGGGACGTAACGATCAGAGTTTGCGTCACCGCTTTAAAATGTAAACAAGAATTTATGCAAAAAAAACTAAAAAAAATGTCGCTAAACATGCCAAGTTTGAAAACATATTTGATAACATAGCTAGAGGTAAAGAAAACAATTTTTTGATTTTCTTATTCATATAAAAGTATTACTAAATCCACAGACTTTTTAAAAATGTTATGTTTTTTATTCAAAACGAATAAAAACAAAAAAATAAATGCATTAAAAACTAACTTTCTATATAAAAACTTGCAAAGTCTGTGGAAATCTAGATAGAACAGACATTCATTAATAACTGTTCTAAATTTCAACCATCGACCATGTAGCTATGTTATCAAATCTTAGTTGGCCTAAGACAGGTTTTGCGTAAAAATCGCAAAAATCAGAAAAGTGATGCCAAATTATTAACAATATTTTTACAGCTTTCATTTTTATTCCGTTTATTGTAAATGTTTATTTAACAAGGAAAGATAGATCTTTTATATTTTTTTTATTTGAAGATGAAAGCATTTATAGAAAAAAAATACTATTATTTTAAAGTTAATGAATTTTTATACTTTTTATGCGGAAATACTTTTTTTTAGATAAACTCGTGACGTCAGGCTCGCTTTTATATTGAGTGAAACAGCCGTGTTATTTAAACTCAAGTGTTTTTATTATTACTAGCAGTAAGCAACCCGTAATACGGGTTGTTAGTAAATAGAATTAAAAAAAACCCGCGTATAGAAAAGCCTAGAAACTACTTTAAAATGATGTAAGTAACTACAATTAAATTACAGTATCTTTATATAATAATAATGAACTTAATAGTAGTAGTATCCTTTCGAGCACGTTTGACATAATACCCAACGCAGCCATTGCAACCGAGGTACTGGCGAGGAAGAGTCGCAGCACCTTTTTATAAGAAAACATTAACGAAAGTGTGTGCTAATAACTAACTTACGTAAACTTCAAAATGTGAAATGTCAAAACATACTAAAACATGTATCAAGTTTTTAAGTTTTACTTTCACTTGAAAACTGCATTGCGGCAACATCTCCTTAAATTTTGACCGATAGCTGTTTTATAAAGTTTTTCGTTAAGTATATATTTTTAAAAATGTCTCTAATTGGTAAGACGGCGTAGCTTCGTGGTCAGCTTGCTGAGCTACTAATCAGGGGAGCCAGGGTTCAACTCCCGTGCCTGGAACTCTTTTTTTTAATCTTTTTTGATTTTTTTTAAAATACAAAACTAATCACTTTTGAAGATGTATAGAGATTATATACTTAACAAATGTAAAAGTATTTTACACTTAAACAAACAAAAGGAAGAGAATTTTTAAAGAAAGCTTAAAAGTTCTAAAAACGTCAAAAAACAGGAGAAATTTGTTGCGCTTATTTGTCATGTTATTTTAGTTTTACATTTTAAGTTTTCTCCAACTAAGTTGAGATTATGCAAGAAAAATTGGTATATAACATGTATATATAGAATATAAAATCTATAAAACTATAAAGTGCATTTAAAAAAAAAAAGCAAGCTGATGAACTTGCCACGCGGCGACCTAAAATTTTTTTAAAACAGTAAGGGGGTTTTAAAAGTATATTTTTATTAAAAGAATAATTCAAAAATTTAAGTTTAGATTTAAAATAAATTATTTTATTAAATTTATTATTTTTTAAAATGAAAAAAAAGTTGAAACTATCTGATATCAAAGTAATAAAAAATATTTAGAGTTTTACAGCTACTTTACTACGCCCCAGTTAAATATTATTAACCGAGTGCGCAACAATGACAGAATTAAGAAAACCATCAAAATAGTATGATACTCCGTATAATATTGGAAGAGTCAACTCGAACGCTTATAGCTGATCTGAACTGAACTGCACGAGGCATTGTAAAATGTGTACACAAGATTTTTGTATTTCTTGAAATGACATATTATCTTCTATTATTATTGTCATAAATGATATAGTTATTGTTGTCATAAATTGTTGTCATAAATAGTATAATTATTGAATATACTTATATAAATAGTATGTATTTTTTAATCTGTTTTTAAAATTACTGAACTTTAAATTTCTAATGTTTTACATAATGAAACATTCTGTTTTATAGGTGTTGCATTGATTTTTGACAGGCTGATAATTTTATACAAGCTAAAGACGACCATTTTTTAAATATAAGTAAGTTTTTTTTTTGTTTTTTTTTATTGGTTTTGAATAATTTTATGTAAAATATTCAATTGTGTTTTATATGAATCTAAGTATTTAGTAAAGTGTTATTGTGTGTATGTGTTAAGTGTTACAAAATATTGTTAGTTAATTAAAATTAAATAACAATATTTTGTTTGGTATTTTAATTTTAGTGCCACAGGTTATAACATATTGTAGGTTTTAATTTCTAATTTTTCTTCATCTTTAAAACTGATTAAGAAAAACATTATTTTTTGCTAATGTGATTGTGTTATTCTATTTTATGAGATATTTTACTAATAATTTGATTGCTCTAAATTATATTTACTTTTTCGATATTTATTTTAGCCAATTAAGTTGTAACAATCTCTGCAAGATTAAAATTAGGTTTTATAATTAAGTATGAAATTAAAATATCGTTTAGCAATTTCAATAAGAATAAGGATGTGGGCCCTTATCAATTGAGATAAGAGCCCACATCCTATAGTGTACATAGAGTGTGGGCCCAGAACAAGAAAAAAAGGTTTCCCCTTATTAAAGAGGAAGAGAATACTCTTATCTAAAGTTGTTGAAAAGATGTACATCCTGTTTCTACACTAAACACCATCAATATTTCAGTCAGCAGAACATGCAAAATATTAAAATAATTTGCTGCTGTGGCCGTGTTTATGATTCTCCGTGTCAGAATAATACTTTATTTTCAGTTTAGATTTTGTGAATACTTTAAATTGCAGTTAATAATTATTATAATAATCAACAATAATCATTGAATTAGGGGGTATCTAATAAGTACTTACAATAAATTTGTGAAAGAACTTCAAAATTGCTTTTTCACTCTGTATGTTTTTAATCGATAAGTCTATTTGTTCATTGATGTGTCCTTATCTGTTATTTTTTTAAATAAGAGGTTCTTATTTTTAATAAAAAGAAATATTCTTTTATTGTTGTTGTTTGTTTGTTTGTTTTTATAATTTTACCTTTTCTCATGATGGTAGAGTTATTTTTCATGTTTAACTGCATTTTAATTTAGTTGAATTTTATTTTTTTCTTTAGTTTTACTTTAGTGCTCTACCAACAATCATAAATTTACTTTATCTACAATAAAATATGGTTTTAACTTTTGTCATTTAAACTTTACTATGTTGATCATTACCTAATAGTGTAAAAAAAAAATTAGTACGTCGCAATCAAGGTTAGAATAATTTTTTTTTCTATTCTGTTGCTGTTTGTTTACAAACATTAAATACTTTTTAGTTTTCAGGTTTTTTAGTTTTTCTATACATTGCAAATTAGTTTCTATGTTATTGTTAATAAATTTCTTTATTCTATTTAGAAACATTAGAAAAATCAAATGTTAAGCAAAGTGCCATTATAATACATTTCTGTTTTATTATGTCAGTTAAAAAATTTATTTATTTTTTTAATTTTTTTTTTTTTTTTTTTGCTTTCACAGGATCAGTGTCAACTAATGTGTTTTGCATACTTATGTATTTTTTGGGTGTTCTGTGTATTAAAACTGAAACATATCATCTTTATATAATAATACGGAACTCAATAGTAGTAGTTCCTTTTCGAGCACGTTTGACACAAAACCCAACGCAGCCATTGCAACCGAGGTACTGGCGAGGAAGAGTCGCAGCACCTTTTTATAAGAAAACATTAACGAAAGTGTGTGCTAATAACTAACTTACGTAAACTTCAAAATGTGAAATGTCAAAACATACTAAAACATGTATCAAGTTTTTAAGTTTTACTTTCACTTGAAAACTGCATTGCGGCAACATCTTAATTTTGATCGATGGTCGTTTTATAAAGACTTTTATTTACTATATATTTTTAAAATTTGTTCAATCGTTCATAGTGGCATAGCTTAGTGGTCAGCTCGCTGGCAGCTGACCTGAAGAGCCATGGTTCGAATCCTACCTATGGCATGTTTTCTTTTTAAATTCATTTTCGATTTTTCTAAAGTACGAAATAAAGATTATGTATAGAGATTATATACTTAACAAATGTAAAAATATTTTACACTTAAACAAACGAAAGGAAGAGAATTTTTAAAGAAAGCTTAAAAGTTCTAAAAACATCAAAAAACAGGAGAAATTTGTTGCGCTTAATTGTCATGTTATTTTAGTTTTACATTTACATTTCTCCAACTAAGTTGAGTTCGCGCAAGGAAAATGAGTATATAACATGTGTATATATAGAATATAAAATCTATAAAGTGCATTTAACAAAAAAAGCAAGCTGATGATTTGAACTTGCCACGCGGCGACCTGAATATTTAAAACAGTAAGGGGGTTTTAAAAATGTATTTTTATTAAAAAATATTTAAAATTTTTAAATTTAAGATAAATTATCTTATGAAATGAAATTTATTATTTTTTAAAATGAAAAAAAAGTTAAAACTATCGATATTTAGGTAATAAAAATATTTAGAGTTTTACAGCTAATTTACAACGCCCCTGTTAAATATTCTATACCGAGTGCGCAACAATGACAGAATTTAGAAAACCATCAAAATAGTATGATTCTCCGTATGTGATTGGAAGAGTCAACTTGAACACTTTAAACTGATCTGAACAAACTGCACGAGGCATTGCAAATGTTTACTCGGTAAGATTTTTGTATTTCTTGAAATGACATTGTATCTTCTATTATTGTTGTCATAAATGATATAATTATTGAATATACTTAAAAAAATAGCATGTATTTTTGCATCTGTTTTTAAAATTATGGAATTTTAAATTTCTAATGTTTTACTTAATGAAACATTCTGTTTTATAGGTGTTGTATTGATTCTTGACTGGCTGTTAATTTTATACAAGCTAAAGACGACCTTATTTTGAATATAAGTAAGTTTTTTTTTTATAATTAGTTTTATGTAATTTTATGTAAAATATTCAATCGTGTTTTATATGTATCTAAGTATTTAGTAAAGGAATATTTGCCAGTGTGACCGAGCGGACGACATTCTGAAATATCTATTGAGGTTTGAGTCCAATCGTTAGAACCTTCTCTTTTTTTTTAAAATTTTTTATTGTTTTTTTTAAAAATTCAAAAATAGAACACAATAAAAAGAGAACTATGAAATTGTTTTGTTTTGCTTTTTAATAATTAAAGCTTTCCGCGACAAACTTTTAAAATTTGTTGTTTCTATTAAGAATATGAGTAAAAAATTTATTTTATATTTAAAATAAATCATTTTTTCCAACTTGGTTATTTTTAAAAATGATATAAAGTTAAAATAACCTAATCTTAAGATAATAAAAAAGTTTAAAGTTTCATATCTGCCCCCGTTAAACATTTTAAACCAAGTGCTCAACAATGACAATTCAGATAACTATCGAAATAGTATTATACTGTGTTTATAGTTTTGAAAGAGTCAGACCGCTATTAACTGGTTATGCACAAGGCATTTTAGATTTGCAAGCGGTAAGTTTTGTATTTCTTGAGATATCTTAGATTCTATTATCATATAAATGATATAATTGTTAAGTATGCTTTTATTTATATGTAGTATGTATTTGTTAATTTGTTTTTGAAGTTGCTAAAGATTTTAATGCTTTACTTAATGAAACAGTCTGTTTAGTAGGGGATGAATCTTGACAGGCTGTTAATTTTATAGAAGCTAATGTTAACCTTATTTTAAATATAAGTAAGTTGTTTTTTATTATTATTGGTTTTAAATAGTGTTAGATATTCAATCGTATTTTTTATGAATCTAATAATTTAGTAGAGTGTTATTGTCTGGAGGTGTTTGATATTCAGGTAAGATTTTATTAAGTTAATTTATTTTAAAAGAATCTTTTAAAATTTACTTATTAAAAATTTTACATTTGCGTTTTTTTCAATTCCAAATTTTGTTTCTATTTTTTTAATATTAAGTAAATTTTTGGTGAAAGATTCTGTTTCTGCATTAAACACTATCAAAATTTTAGTCAGTAGAACATGCAAAATATTGAAATGATTTGCTGCTGTGACTGTGTTTATGATTATCCACGGCAAGATGGTATTTTATTGTCAGTTAAGATTTTGTGAATACTTTAAACTGCAGTTAATCTTTTTTATGTATTATAAATTATTTTGTATTACAAACTTTTTAAATTTTGTTATTTTATTTCTTTAGTTCTACTTTGGTACTTTAGCAACTATCATAAGTTTACTTGGTCTACTGTTAAATATGGTTTTAACTAAGTAAATTTTAATTATTTAAAATTTACTTTGTTGATCATTAGCTAATAGTTTATAAAGAATTTAGTCTGTTGCCATCAAGGTAAAAATAATTTTGTGTTTCAGTCAAATTACAAAATTTGTTTGCACTTATAGCATTTATGTTTCGTTATTTTGTTTAATTGACTTTTTCATTAATTTTGTTATTAATTCCTTTTCATTTCAAATTTTGCCCGTTTTTAAAAATGCTATATAAAAATAGCAGCAGGCAAATTGGTTTGTAGTATTATTATATAAAGATTATTATATAAAGATGTTTTTAATTCTATCATATGATAATTTTTCATCGTAGATATATCTTACGATGCTTTTTCAGCATATTGCAGTTCGCGAGGCACATAAGTTGTGGGCCCGAATTTAGAGCAAAAGCTCGCTCTCCTCCGCCATTTTTTTTTCTTTTTCTTTTTTAATAAGGATCCTGTAAAAAATAAAATATGAGAAGGATCCTTAGTATGGATCCTGTAAAAAATAAAATATGAGAAGATAGCGGTGGGAAAATATTGCGCTATATCTTTAATTAGTATTTTTGTAGTTAGTTAATAATGCAGATATAGTTGAATTTTTTTTTGTAAATAAAACTTTTATATATTTTGTTTCGTTATCATGTATAAATAAATTGATTTACAGTGGTGTTATTATTTCTTTTTTGAAAAAAACTTATTAGTTTGTGACATAGAATTGACTTGGTCGTTAAGTAGAATGCCAAGAATATATATGACGGTTATTGTTGATAAGGGTGATTAATAGGCAAGTAAAGTATAAACTAACTTTATATTGATTTTATTTGTAGACCTAATAAATAGGAAGATAACATAATTCAGGTAATTATTGTTTTCAGTTTTTCTCCCAATAGTTAATTAAAGTTTGATATCTTATATTAAAAAAATATGACCATTCGAGTAATTATGACGGTAATGTATATATTTAACATGTAACTTCATGTTCTGTAATTTGTAATCATTATTTTTAAAGTAGATAATATAAATTTTTACAGATTTACTTTAACTTGAAAATTTCATCTCCTTATTTTATAGCATTTCATCTCCTTATTTTATAATTTCATCTCCTTATTTTATATGCCGTTTTATAAAGTTTAATAAGTAATAAAGTTTATGAAACAGTGTTAAAAGATAATACAGCATGCCAAAGTGGTTGAAATGCTTCGCTTGGGTTAAAATCCTTTCGCTTACACTCATAATTTTTTTAAATATTTTCCAAATTTCTAGAAAACAAAGTAAAACATTTTTAAAGGCCTATAGATATTATATGCATTACATTACATATATATAAAGATATTATATATTATAACAAACTAAAGGGAGAGAACTTTTTAAAACGCTGTGTAAAATTTCTAAAAACCTGAGAACACTGTTTGAAATTTGTTGCGCATATGTCATGGTAGAGATACTTTAGTTTTGGATAAATTAGTTTAGTCTGCGCATTTAAGAGACAACTTTTTCTCTAATAGAAAAAAAGTTTTACATGCAAACTGAAATTTTCTTGAAAATTAACTGGGCAAGAGTCCTAACAAGTATCGGATGGT